TCGAGGCTTTCGGGTTTCGAGTCGCCCTCAAACGACAAGATGTTCAACCCTGCTTCTCTTCTTCACTGCATCCTGTCTACCAGCTTTTGTTTGTGCCACCGGTTTTGCAGGCCTCAAAACAGAGTCGAATCAATCGTTTCCCCACTTCACTTGGGCTATGACGTATCACTGAAATCCAGATTCAGCAAGTTCTCATTTTATTGGAAATTGCCGCGTGATTCAGAAAAAAAGCAAAGAAAGCTGCTCTGCATTCTTTAAACCTTTCAAGAACCTCCTGTCTTTTTTTGGAAAACGATCCTTGCCTGGCCAGCGTGGAACTCGCGAGTTCGAAGATTGCTGTGCTCTGCGTTCCTAGGAGGCTGCTCTGGAGAAGGCCTGTGCCGCCGACCAGCAACTATACAACAAGCCATAGAACATGGCACGCAACACTCCGAAGCGAGATGTCCTTTGTCGATTTTTTTGTGGCCGGAAGGAAAGTTAAAGTCGCAGAGGGGCTGCTGTGAGGTTCGGTGAGCTTAGGTCCAGCTGTGAGTCCTGTGCTTGTTCTGGCTCAGCAAACGCCCCGGCCTGAGCGAGACCCAGCCTGCCTTCATGTGCACGCCACAACTTGGGACGTAGTGATTCTTGTGGAGAGAGCGTCTCGGGTACATAGACCCGGCGTTTCATGGTGTGTCCTGACATATTCTGCATTGTGATGCGGTGCATTCGGCATTTCGGGCCTTGGGCTTGGGGTTGCTCTTTCCCATTCGCCGGCCATTTTCTTTCAGCTGAGTAAGAGAGAGACGCGTGACCGCACATTGACTCCTGCAAAAAATGGCGTGCCCTGACCGCTGCCCGGGACCCAAAGTGCCGCACCACTGCAAGCTGGTCCCAGAGCCCTCGCTGCGAGAGCAGATCGCTGCTTTGGCCGCGACGTTCAAGAAGACCCGCACCCGCCATGTGCCCGTCATCAACTCCTGGATGTTTAGGAAAGCTCCCTCCGCGCCCATGCCTGCAAAGACGGGGATGCCCCCGATGCCTTCGGGAGCAGCGGCTCCCGTTGATGTTAGCACTGCGTCGGCTGCATCCTCAACAGGCAGGGACGACTTGCCGGAGGTCTCTGTAGAGCACGAATCCAGCCTGGAGGAGCAAACTGAGCAGGCCATGGAAACGGAGGAACAGGAGGTCACAGAGGACTGGCGGCGCTATGTTACAGAGGACCCGCAGGAGGCAGCGGAAGAGGGCATGCCAATGCAGCGGCACGCCGAAGAAGAGGAGAGGCAGGGCCGGACCTGGCGCAGCTGGGCGGATCAGCATGAGGAGGAGTACGGCGCAGATGAATCGGACGAAGATCAGCAAGGTGCAAAAGAGGCGGAAGAGGCGCTCATGAGGCCTCCCAGGCAGCTGCGGCAGCTGCCATCGACGCCCTTGCCTGTGACTCCGGAGAACAGCGCAGCTGCCAGGCAGCTCTTCAAGGCGGTTGCCGGCGTGCTGAACGGAGCCTACGCCGAAGTTCCGGCTGCTTGCGCCGAGGCCGTGCAGCAGTGGCTACACACGGAGGAGTCCCTGGACCTTGTGACCGCCTCGGATGGCCTCGCGCTTGCCCTCCAAGCTGGGGCCGTGCCGATCCAGGGCCTCACAACCCTAGCGTCCCTGCAGAAGCACGTTGCAGCGGAGTGTCAGGAGACCTTGCTGATGCGCAGCATGGCGGAGAGAGTTGGCTGGCTAGTGGGGCAGCTCACTTCGGGCCGTGTGCCGCTCACAGAGTGGGAGACCTTCCAAAACTTGCGGAAGGCTCTGGAAGAGGCGGCGGAGGGCGACGACCTCTACTCTGCCAAGCTTGACTTTGTCAAAGCCCTGGCTATCATCGCATGCTCAGGGTGCCATGAGAGGCCTCTTCCTGGTAAGCTTTGCCAGACATGTTCAGGCAGCTGCCTGTCGCCTTGTGCCAAGTGTTCCGGCAGCGGTGTCTACGCCCAGCCTTGCCGCAGGTGCGACGGCCGGGGCCTGCTGGGCCGCGCCACCAGCTGCCCGGTCTGCGCAGGCAAGGGCAAGAAGGTCCTCGGCAGCTGCAACGCTTGCACGAATGGCCAGTCCAGCAAGCCTTGCCACGCGTGTGAACAAGGCCGGCCATTCTGCACGGAGTGTGCGGCTCAGCGACTGGAGGAGAGGAAGGCAGAAGACGCGGCAGCAGCAAAGAGGCGCCAGCAGCGAGCATCGCAAGCGAGGGAGCTGGGTCCACCTCCTGCAGGGGTGACCATTGCTCGTGCGAGTGCGACCGACCTTGCTTGGTTGCAGACTCTTTGGGAGGAGCGCAGCCAAGACCACCATCACCACTACTGCCATGGCTACAGCCAAGACCGAGGTGTGGTGGCCGCGTGGTCCATCGACAACCCACTGCTGAGCTGGCGCTTCGCCGAGCGCCGCAAGGAGCTGAAGGGACTGCTGCGGAGGGACCCAGATGAGCTGGATGGCTTCCATGGCTCGGCGCCGCAGAACTACCTCTCCATCATCCAAGGCGGCTTCCGGTCGGATCTTCGGGGCTCGGCTGTCGGGCAGGTCTTTGGCAGTGGCGAGTACTTTGCAAAGAACCCGGCGGTGTCGGTGAGTTACTGCAGAGGTGGCCACTACATGCTGGTTTGTCAGCTTCTGCTGGGTGAGCAGTCTCTGCACAGTAGCAACTCAGATGGGGACCACATCTGGGTAGAGGACAGCCAGTACTACGTCATCTCGCAACCGTCTCAGGTCCTGCCACGCTTCCTTGTGAAGTTCGCCAATAATGGCAGCGAGGACGCCGAGCTGGAGCGGGTTCTGGCGAAAGGTCACTGGAGCACCAAGAAGGCGGAGGACATTCTTCCTGTCCCTGCAAACCGGCCTTGTACCATGAGCAGAGATTACGCCACATTCCTCTGGATGGGGTTTCTGCATGCGCATATCTCGGACGACCAGCTTTACAAAGACACCCTGGCCTTCCTGCAAAGCCATGCTCCAGCCTACACAGAGGGCGTCAAAGTGCAGATCGTTCGAGGGAAGTTCAAGAAGGCACATGCCGTTCTCAAGAAGGAGACTATATCCCCTTGGGAATTAGTTGTATTTTTGTTTATATATGAGGATATTCAAAATATTGTTTGTATTAAGGTTCTAAGGGGAGTATAGGAGATGCCGCGAGAGCTCGTGCACCGTCTCAACCGTCTTCCTTTCATCGAAGATGGACAGCAGCGCACCATCTGCGTGGAAGATGGCCATGGCTCTCCAGAGCAGGACTGCCCGAAGTACATCGCCAAGTACTGCCGAGGTCAGAACCTGCGCTTCACCAACCCCTGCTGGTGCAGACATCCCGGTCGGGAGACGGACAGCGCGAGGTTCTCACTGGAGTATGTGGACCTTTGCAGCGCCAAGGGCAACGAAATCCAGAGCAGGTTCATGGCCTCGGCCCCTTTCCATAACGGAGAGCCTGTGATTGTGGGCATCCGCCAGGTGAAGAACCCCCTTCTCTCCAGGCTCCATGAGGAGTACCGGCGTTACCTGAAGACTCGGCACCGTGAGGAGCCCACGGCGCGCGAGCTCTTCCACGGCACCAACAACAACATCCACGACGTCCTTTTCCAGCATGGCCTGCAACCTCCCTCTGACTGCAACGCGTCAGAACTCTGCCCTGTGTCAGGAGGCAAAGGCTTGAGCACCACCCTCTGCACCAACTCCTGCAAGTTCTGCACTGAGAAGCACGAGTGGAACCGCTGCCACATGTTCGGCCTCGGCATCTATCTGGCCGACATGGCGCAGAAGTCGCACCGCTACGTGTCGCAGCCAGGGGATGGGCGAGGCGGCCGGAAGCAGTACAAGATGATCGTGTGCTCCGTTTTGGGCCGCGCCTTCAAGGTCGAGGGCCACTTGCGGACCAAGGACGGCATGCACGACGTGGCGAACGTGAAGGCTTTGGTGCCCGAGGAGCTGGACGACATGGTGGAGCCCTGCTGCGCCGCCCTGCGCAGGCCCGGCCGGGGAGGAGCGGCCTCCGCCTCCGACCTCTCCTCCGAGCATCCGCCGGACAAGTGTGACCTGCTCTTCGTACAGGGCCTCGGCTGCAACAGCCGCCCGGGATGGTCTGTGTACAACTCGGAGTACATCGCGTACCATCCTCACCAGTGCTTGCCCAAGTATGAGATCACCTACGAGCTGCGCTGAGAAGCTGCTACAAGTACTTCTCTCTCTGTGTGTGTCTCGTCTCACTTACTCTTAGCGCGGAAGGGACGGCGCTGCCTTGGATTGCCTCATGATGAAATTGCACAATCTCTTTGTGGTAATTTTAGTACGCAATGGCCATGTTGCTTCTGGATTAGAGATTGCTGGTGGTGTTTTCGTTGATCGGCAGCGTTTGTACAGCCCTTCCAGAATAGTGGCCCACCGCGTGCCTCCATAGGTAGACCAGGTGGCCTTTACATTGTTGTTGTTGCTTGTACAGAAGTCCATTGCCGTCTGGAGTACAGCTGTTGGCCTCCTCCAAGGTCGATGGTAGACGTTTTCATATAGGAAGCATCGGAAAGGAAAGTATGCCGGCATATGCTCGAACCCTGCATTTCAACTTGGAGGCCACACTTGACGTTGCTAGCTCTGTAGAAGAGATTCGAGCTCCCACCTGCCAAGGAATCACGAGGAATCGGCTGTGAGGACGATACTGCCAAGTGTGCTTGATGGACCCTAAACCCTAGACCTCACCCTCTTTACTTCTAAACCCTAACCTCCGAACTCTCGAATGCCTAATCCCTAAGCCCTCAACCCGAAACCCTAACCCCTGCAGCCTCTGTGTTTTCGAAGAAGGGTCGGGGTTGCTGGTTTTCCAGAGATCATATAGGGTTGAGTTTTACAGCCTGTCAAGTTCCAACTTCGATTTCTTCACGCCCTCAACCCCATCACCCCCTGTAAGCCTGCGGCTCGTCCTGCTTTTTTCCCGAAAACCCCCCGAGAAGTTGGGTTCTCAGTGCTTCTCCGCGGAAGGCGCGATATCGGATGGTGTTCTGACGATGCAGTCGGCGGAGAAGGACAGCGGACAGGGCACCGGGGAAGTTGATGTGGTTTTTGACAGGTTGTGACAGGGTTTAGGGTTTAGGGTTGATTGGGAGGGCGCGGGGGAGCGCGACATCCAGTTGAAGGAGCCGTCGCACGCTGCAAGCAGAATAGACTATAGACGTATGGAGCAGCACGAAGCACCACGAAGACCCACGGCAAATCGGATGTGGGGTAGGTAGATAGCGCCCGCGTGAAGGGCCTGCAAGGGTGATAGTGTCATCAAGCAGTGCATCCCCTTCGCAATGATCTCGGGGAAGGGGGGGGAAAAAAACGAAAGTCAAAACCATCGTGCGACAGGCGCAGCCGCTCCGTGCCGCCTGCTGGCTCACGAACCTGTGTCAAGCAGCGCAGCGCCCGAGGCTCGCCTCACTTCAGGGTTTCGGGTTTAGGGTTTAGGGTTTAGGTTTTCCATCCATGCCTATGTAGTTGAGTTGATGAAGCCCTCAGTCCCTGGCAGCGATGCTTTCAGAGCCCAAGCTTGCCTTTAAATGGAGAACACTGAAACGAGGACCGAACCCTCGTGCCTTCACGGCGGGGACAGCTTATAGTTAGGATCTTCGGCGCAGGTGGTAGGGGTGTCGCCTGGTTGGCGGTAGGTAGGGCCGTAGGGATGTCGGCGTAGCGTAGAGCCCTAAAGTGCGCAACTCAAACCTTGAGCCCCAAACCCGAATCCCAATTGGTAGCCAAGTCGCCTCTCAACTTAGCCACGCTCCCCTGATGCCCATCAGAACTCCTGAAACTTCGACGTCGCCCGTCTTTTTGCATGTTTGACGACCCGAATCTAAACTTTGGATTCTAAAGTACCAAAGCTTCAAGTAAGAAGGGGTCAGAGAGTTTGACTTCGAGATAGAGTTGCTGACACAGTCCGTTGGCCAGCCCAAGCACTCCCAGCAAGGAAGCTACGCGTCACGTGTGTTGGTTTGTGATTGGGAAGCAGAGGTCACCAGGTCCACCTTGGGCCCCGTTTGGTGCGACTTCCTGGCCTCTGATCCAGGCTCAGCCGACTGAAAGCTAGAGGTAGCCGAAGCAGCTCGTCCCCGGTCATGGCGTCCCTGGAGTTGCCCACGATTCAGTCTGAGGCCTGGGACCCGGACATTTCGAGGCAAGTGGGCCAAGAAGGCCAAGGAGCAACGACTGGGAGGTCTCCTGGCATCTGCGTCTGTGTCGCGAAGTCAGTCTTGCGCTTGGCGCTGTGGCTCAAAGCGCTTTGGGACTACTTGTGGTACAAGTTTCAAGTGAAGGACACAGAGGAGTTGATCGTCGACATGCCGGTTTTTGCCCCACCGAAGGATGGTGCTGATGTGAAGAGGATGCGGCAACTGATTGCTGAGGACGTCCCATTCCTGATCCAATGGCCCACACACCAGCCCCTGCTCCCTGAGGAGGTCTGCACGGAGACCGAGAGCTACTTATCCAAAGCCTTGCAACTTTGTCATAGTTGGGTACCACTTTTACAATTTTCAGGGTGCGTAAACCCAAAAAGGAAGAGAATTTAAAGTTTAAGAGGATCCCAACCATGAACTAGGCAGGAGCAGAGCCCAGATGAGGAGTTTTTGATCGTGAGGCCTGACCGATGGCTGAGAAAGTACGGGAAGCTGGACCAGCTTGTGCAGATGCTCCTTCCTCTGCCTTGGCACCGTCGCGTGATGTGGCCTTTCTGGTTCCTGGGAAACTACGCTACGTCAGGGCCACATGTGGATGCGTCCAACGGCTCCGTGAACGTGTATTACATGGCCCGAGGCAGCAAGAGCGTTCAGATTTGGACCAGGAGCGCCTCTCAGAAGATGCCGATGGTCTACAGCAAGGATTACCTCATCGCGGCAGATGGTTCGACGCTCTCCAGATATGCCAGGTACACAGGGATCTTGAAGGAGAACTCGGTGCTGGTCTTCAGCAATTCTGCCTGCCTGCATCATTTCGTGAACATGCCTGGGGCGCAGCCCTGGGGTCTTTCCATACGGCTGAACTACGCCGGGAAAGTTCATCCCCTGGTGCTTGAAACAGCGACGAGCAGCTGGGAGATGGTGGACTATATCTTCAGCCTGTTATGTCAGATCAAAACCGAGGGCAAGATCCTCCGCACAGAGTTCGTGAAGTAGGGCGATAGAGCTCGAGAGGCCTTTTTTTTTAATGGATGAAATTTGAAATATCCAGTTTAAGGCATTCCGCTTCAGCTGTGCTGACCAGGCTTGCAAAGCGATCTTGGGTGCGAGCGCAGGTCCTTTCACCAATGGGAGTGTTGTGTTTTTTGGCCGAGCGGGCCAGAGACTTTTGTGTCATTCGGCCCGTGACATTTTTACAGCACTTTGATCACTTCGAACGGCGGTCGTTTCACTACAGGGCTAGCAGGTGGACGTGGGAAGTTGAGTGGGCTTGTGGCTTATGCTTCATGGCCCACAAGACGTCACGAAAGGCTAAAACAGGGCGAGTTTGCTCATATTTAGTCCATATTCCGTGCACATCATATCCTGCTCTGACCTTGGCCACTTACAATTACATGCCCTTCCATCTCCCGTCCATCTTGAAGCGAACCGGATTGAAAGCAAGAGGCATGGAGCCATGCTTCCACTTGACGCAGACGGCGGAAGGCTGCAGCTTTGCCAGGGATTGGTTTGCTGCAGCGCAACTGTGTCGGTTCTTGTAGCATATAGTTTTAAAGAGAGTTTTGGCATGAGTTTCCTGAAAGTTCCGCGGCAATCTGTTTGAAGACTTGGGGCTCCCGAAAGTTCTCCAACGTGCGGAGTCGGGCATCGGGTGCACTGCTGGGTTCGAGTACTTGAGATAGGCCGCAGGCAGACATGGTGGTGAAGGCCTTGTAGACTCTCGCAGATGTCCCCGAGCCAGTCCAACGGTTTTTCAAAACCGAATGTTTTCGGTTGAGCATTTGGCCCACACACAGTTCAAGTCGGACTTCCTTTTGCCTCAGCCTCCAGTACCTGCAGAGCCATGCCGAAGCCTTTGAAGGAATCGGAGCTTGCGGCGGAGGTTGTTGCAGACGCGGGCGTGTCCTTCAGCGACATGACGTTGCGGACGGCCGATGGAAAGGAGGTGGCCATAAGTGACTTGGACCTGTCCGCGAATGTGAAGCAGCTTCTACGCCAGATGGACCTTGATGGCGATGGCTGTGTCGATGCCGAAAATGTTCAAGAAGTGTCCGAAGTCTTGGACGTGATCAACGAGAACTTCGGGAGTGCAAACCATCAGCTGACTCACAGCGAACTCAAAAACGGCCTGAACCTCTTGGTGAAACTCTTGCACGACAAGAACAAAGACCACGATGAGCTCGAGTACAGCCACCTGCCCCCGCGCATCCAGGATGTCATGAAGGCGAGGTAGATAACTATATCCGCCTTGGGGAATGGGGTTTTAGGCGCAAGTCTCAGCCTGGTTTTCTCCAATTCGCATATATTTCACCTTGATTGTAATCCTGTAGACACTCATCAATCAAAGGGCAAAGCCCTTGAAAATCCTTGACTCTCGAATATCCCTTCAAGTTTCGCAAGCAAAACATAACAAAACTCTTCAAAGGAGTGGGACACAGACGGCAGCGGCGCGGTGAACGTGTCGGAGCTCTCCGCTGCTGCCAAGGCCTACAAGAAGATCCAGGACGAAGGCGCAATGTGAAGGGTTTAGGGTTTAGGGTTCCTTGACTTCTTAAGTCCCGCACCCTCAACCTTAATTATAAACCCCCCCTAAATCCTATGAAAACCTTGAACTCTCCCTAAACTACCCTAAACCCCAGCTCATCGACCTGGACCCAAAACCCCAAAACCCAACACCCCAGCTCCTAAGCCTCAATCCCCAAATCCTAAATTTAAACCCCAACTTCAAAGCCCCAAGCCTGTTTTTCTTGCTTGCATTTCGTGCTGACTTCAACTTCAAAAGGTCCAGATGAGTCATGCAACTCCAACTTTTAACAATATTTCATGCAAGAGTCTCAGGCTCCATGGCTCATAGGGCATGACCGAACAGGCAAGCGACCAAGGTGTGTTGAACGAGAGCTTCTGGTTGAACTTGGTATATACTGTCGGATGCTTTAAAACTTGAGTGCTTGCAAGACCTCGCGAGGCCGGCTCATGAAGAAGATTGTCGTCGGACTGTCCATCGTGATCGTGCTCTTGCTTTGCGGAATGTTCGTGCTCTCGTACGCTGCCGTGGACATGGCCAAGGAGATGAGGAGCAGGGATGATGGCGTCATGCAGGCTGCAGGTGGGGAAGTCATGAAGGTGGCCTCGCTCGCATATTGTTTTTTAAATCTCTTTTTTTGAGACGGCCACCTTTTTTTTTAGGGCTTTCGTGTTGAGGGTCTTTCCAGTGATGCTTGCACTTCGGTAGTTCGTAGCCACGGCGCAAATTGGTCGCCGTGCGGTGGTTCCATGCACTAGCTACAGCTCCTGCGCAGTTGGTTGGGTAGCACGCCTTGTAGCTCAGTGGTAGCGGAGTGCACGCTCCTCTCAACAACCACACCCGCAGTGCGTGCATCGAGCCTTGTTGTCTCTGTCACTTGAGGCGCAGACTGTCGATTCCTAACCCCGTGTTGGAGCTGCTGAGCACTACATCCTAGACACCCTAAACCCTATAAACCCTATGAACCCTATAAACCCTATAAACCCCATAAAACCTATAAACCCGATAAACCCCATAAACCCCATAAACCCTATAAACCCTATAAACCCTATAAACCCTATAAACCCTATAAACCCTATAAACCCTACAAACCCTATCAACCCTATAAACCCCAAACCCCGAAAGTGCCCGAGGTGGCCAGCTCTGCCTTTGATGTTCTGCCGGATGGCACGCTGGTGACGCGCGGCACGCTGACTCCGATCCCGGGCCTTTCAGTCCATGCGCACGCCTTGGGATGTTCCCCCCTTATACAGTCATTAATGAGGATTATAGTAGGGGGTACGAGAATCCCTATTATAGGACTGTTAGTATAAGGGAGAGCATCCCAACGCACACCATGCAACCTTCAGGGCCCTCTAGGGCTTAGGAGTTTTTGTTCTGGCCCTGTTGTTGGTCGAGATGCCTCGCTAGAGGACATGCCCGGGCAACACAACCTGCCGCCGCCTCCAGAGCAGTTCGCCGATTCTGCAGGTGCTGGGCAGGTAGTTTCAAGTTTCCTTCCAATCTGCCCCAGCGAGGAGCTCGTTAGGCCCCGTTAAGCTTGTCCGTTTCGCGCCTCAGTGTACTGAAGGGCATTTTATCACCTATGCGCATGTTTTGCATGCATGCTTTTGGCTGGGGGAGGGGGCAAATAAGAGGGTGTGGGGTAGGGACTTCTTTATGCAAAGGAACTTGCCTTCGGAAGGATTGATTGTGTCAGCCAAGCACCCGAAGCACCCGACAGCAACGAAGAGTCGCAGGTCCGTTGGCAAGGTCCCCACCACACACACACACAAAGTGTGGTCACAGAAAAAAGGGTCGAGCAACTGGCTTCGTACCAGGCTCCTGGCCCTGCCAGATATACAGCCAACCTGCGGGCGACGGAAGTTTGGTGTTCGCATGCAGCACTCTAAGTCCCTAAGCAGGTGGCGCAAGCACTGCAGGGGAAGCAGCTGGTTTCGACGCTTCCGGACAGCGTCTTCAAGAATCTGGACATGGTGACCTGATGGAAGTTCGCGTCATGTTTGTAGGTCACAGTCAGCAAGCTTTGAAGCCTAAAGCTCCTAAACCCTAAACCCTAAACCCTGGACCCTAAACCCTGGAGTCTTCTAAGCAAGCCCCCCCATGTGTGAGGTGACCCTCAGTGCGGAGCCGCACTACATGAAGCTCCAAGTGGAGGGCATGAAGCTGGGCTGCTGGAGTGTCCTTGGGGTTCAGGGTTTAGGGTTTAGGGTTTAGGGTTTAGGGTGTACGTAGGGTTTAGGGTTTAGGGTATAGGGCCCCCAACCCATCCAACTGCAAAAGTTTCCTGAAGCCCAACCCTGAGCCCTGAACCCTGAACCCCAAGCCCAACACTCGAACTACCCCCATGCCAGGGTTTTGGGTTTTGTCAGCGTCTGCTCCCTTAAAGGGGTTTAGGGTCCTTTAAACAGGGTTCAGGGTTTGGGGGTTTTGAGTCTAGAAGGCTTTGACTTGGTCTGAGTTGGGTATATGGTTCATCGACCTGAGAGTGGGTTAGGGGACCCAAAACCCTAAACCCCAAACCCCAAACCCCAAACCCTAAACCCTAAACCCTAAGGAAACGGATCCAAATGAAGACCAGCAAGTGTGGCTCGGTGGTGGAGCTGACCACGAAGGAGCCGCCTGCTTGAGGGTTCTTGTGGTGGATTTGGGTCTAAGGCTGGGAGATCTCTAGGTGTAGGGTTCATGGATGTTTAGAGTTTATAAGTTTTGGGATGTGTAGGGTTTTGGGATGTGTAGGACTCAGCAGTGGGGTTCTGCTGGAAGTTTGCGCGCTGGCTGAAACGGGGGGTGGGGGGGGGGGAGGGGGGTGTAGGCTTCAAACACAAGAAATGGTTGAGGCCAGCTTTCCTTTGCTTTGAAGGTTGTGGGGCACGGGGAAAATATGGGCCGAGGGAATTTGCAAGAATTTTGTACAAGCTGGTAGGAGCCATACCATGGTTGACTTGGCATCGTGCTTGTTTTCAAGTTTTCTTCTTTGACTCAAGCCTTTTTGGCCGCGTGGTGTCTACCTCTCCTTTTGTTGGGTGCTAAGGTGTCACGAAACAACCACGAACGAATTATGGGAATGAAGATGTTCATTAATGTTGTGATTGCTAATCGTACTGCTGCATTTTGTTTATGTGCTGTGATTGCACGAGGCTTCTTGATTTGACTTGATTTTATTATGGCTGCTGCTGTCGTCGTCGTCGTCGTCGTTGTTTTGATTTTATGCCGGTGGCTGCGGGGTATAGCGTTTGTCAAGGCAGGTGCACATGCAGACAGCGGGTTGGTACGTACTCTCGGTGGACAGTCGCAAAACCAGAGTTACCAGAGTTTTCACCCACACGTCATACAGCACACAGGTCACCCAGCCCGCTTGAGCGTGCAGGAGATTCCATGGCCATTTTGTTGCCATGTGCTAGGCTACATCGTCCATTTCAGCTTATTAGGCCTACATCATACAACATGTGGAACATAAAATGGAAGATCGACTTGCGCAGCCTCCCCCTCCCCATTTCAGACGCTAAATCCTTCCAATTTACCAGCCAAAATGGTGGTGTGTAACCCCATGGGGTGGTAACAGGGGAGATTTAGAGATGTGTAGAGGGTTTCGGGTTAGTGTTGAGGCTGGCGTTTATTCAGCTTGGTCCATCGGGCCTTTGGACCCACTTGGGGTTGACGGTTCCGAAGCGGCGAGGAGGGCGTCCTGACCATCGACGACACCGCCCTGATCGCTGATGCCGCGCTGGCGAAGAGCCTGGACGAGGTAGGAGAGAGTGGAAGACAAAGCTCATACTTTGGTATGTCCCCCCTTATACTAACAGCCCTTAATTGGGATTATGATCGGGGGTACTAGAATCCCTATTCAGGGCTTATAAGGGGAACATCCAAACTCACACTTGAAAACAGCTCGGAGGAGCTGATTGCGGTGAGAGCTATGAAGAAAGAGAGGGGAAGAGAACAAAGCAGAGAGTGAGAC